TAGAGCCTCGGTAGTGTTGGTTTTCCGGAGCTTTGCGACATCAAGGCGTCTCACACGTGGCATTTTGGGCGCAGACGAGAGGTGAACGTTCAGGTGCGTGCGAACGAGAGCATGCTCAGACCCCTGGGCATTACCAGTTTCGATACCTCGCATCGACTTACAAGGGCTGTCACCTGATTTAATTTTACACAAGGGAGACTTGGTTCGTCCGGTTTAAGCAGGCTTTTGCCACATTGCATGCATCAAAAGAATTGTATGGACCGTTGTGTCTATGACGCATTAATTTGTATTTCAGACAGGCTTCTGCGATTTCTGTTATGTTCTTCACGACTGTGCTATAAGACGCAGGGGTCGCCGGGGTCAGTGCACATTCGCGCGTTTCAGTTTACACCTTTTAATCGGCCGTCCTAAATGGCTACGTTTTTTCCCATTCGCTTGCACCACTAAATCAGGACTAAGCTGCTCGTCATTTGTCGCAAAGTTGTGCCATATCTCACTTTTCATTACGTTCGGTTATCAGCCGACTCTTGAAGAAATTGTCTGCATACAGATTCAAGATTTCCGCTGACTATCATTTCGTTTTGATCATACCTTCCTTGAGGGTCGACAATTTCAGCAAAATTCCAAGTGCTATTTTGAGTATGCTTGCTGTTCTTTTTTGAGGTTTTAAATTTAAATTGCGGTTTTATTTACTATCTAACGCTCAAACCTCATTCTAAATTGACCAGAGACTACTATTCTTGGTCGATAAAGACTAATCACCTTTTTGTTCGTTTCTTGCGGTAGCAACTATTCTTCATCCTTTTGAACCCTCACAGTCCAGACAGTTTTACCGGTAGTAGCCTTGAAAATTTGCATTTTTTAATCTTTGACTGCCATAATATTCAAGTTTACCTACCTTTTAAACGGACTTTTCTTAATCTAGAAGTGCCGTTTTCCGAGAGGCGATCACTCAGCCCCGAAAAACGCGGTGACGTAACACTCAATACCTACAAGCCCAACGAGGAAGAAAGGTTGAGCGTCGAACTGGAATACTGGCGAACCGGCGACCCAGCAACAGACTGTTTGTCTCCTGGTTTGACTGCAGGTCACACGACCTATCTCCTTTGTCCCGCCGGTCTTACAATCGGTCACTTGGAAAAGCTCATCCGTCTCAAGTTTGAACTGAAGCCCGGTTTCCACGAAGTTGCCGTTTTCTTCTCCTCTGACGACTACTTCAGTCCTGACTATACCCTCTCCGACCTGGCCTGTCTCTACTCCTGGCGACGCCAGCACCCAATGAAAATCTATTTTTCTGTGATTCGCACTGACTCAGACAAGTCTCCGGTTCCTTCGCCCTCCTCACCTCCCTGCTCTCCGGCCTTATCGGCAATAAACCGAAAGTCCGCCACCAGTGAAACGGCTGCCATGGAGTCTGATCCTAAAAAACGATCCTCTCTGAAATTTCCCAGTCCTGAGCCGCTTTCAAATGCGTCAGGCCAGGCTCTACCTCATGCCGCTACCCCGACTGATTTGCCCTCACATCTTAGTACCACTGGACCGCAGCTTGCGCTGCTTGCTAACGGCTGGGGCTGATACCTCGAACCACACCTTGTTTTGTTTATGAACTAGACCGAGACACACCAACTATCGGATCGATTGTGGTGGTCTGCTAAGACATTCCCATTGTACCTACATGTTTTTAATTTTGCAGTTCGAAAAATATGTGCATGCGCTAAGTGTCGTCACAAGTACTTATTTAATTATTGTTTGCCGACAGTCGTGTGCTCGTACTGGCACTGAAGAGCTGCTTGTCTTTAACTGCGGGAAAAACTATGTTAGTTAATATTGGCGTTTTCTGCGATTGTGCCTCTGGACAGACGCATTCATTTATAGTGGGGCATCTGAACTTGAGATGCTAGTGTTTGCTATCCCAACCTTAGAAATTGCTTTATTTTCGGTTGGGCTCATCTGATGCTTGGTCCGCATCGTGTCAAGTTATTCACACCTCTATAGGTATGCCTGTCTTTCAAGGTGCCGGCAAACACACTTCATTGGCTCGGTCGGTACTGCATTTACTAAACATAACTATTTACTGCGACATCGTGAGAGATGTCATGATTTCCTCTTATCTGTCATTGGCTGGCACGTTCCCTAAATCCATTTCAGGTGATTTACCTTATCGGTGGCGAGGTTTTATCAACCCAGTGAGCAAATAATTAGAGAACATTTCATTTACTGCAGGGAGCCCAGTAGGAATCTCCAACAACCTGTGCTGGCCTCCAAATTTTATCTGGGGGTTATTGGACACTTGCCACCGTCATAGGTCGGTAGAGACTGATATACATTTATCTCATGGTGGAACCACTCAGTTATCCTGTTGGCGGTCAGCCGATAGCCTTTCATCTGAATCCGGACGAAATTGAAGAAGTTGGAGAGTAACTGATCGTGGGTAGTTAGTGGACTACTAATAAATACCTCTACTACGACTGCCATTCTCGCCATCGGCAGTGGAAAGCCGGGTGTCATTAGGCAATTGGCTTTTGAATTTGGATAAGAGTTTACATCTTTCCGAAAAAATAGACCGAATACAGCGACGCGTTGAGGATAGTTTCGTCTTGGGCCTTGCACATATCGGTATTACTCCTCTGGCACTCTAGACACTCCCAGTCATAAGCCTAGCAGCAGTTATGCCGTACAGTCGAAGGACAGTTTGCCCCCGCTTCGACTCTTTGGGTGGGAGAGGCTGGGTAAGGAGGGAGAAAACTGTTCGGCAAAAATACTAGAGCAGGAATGACTGATAGGTCCAGGTGGAGACCTCGCAGAGGGTGATGTCATCACCATTAGGGGAATGGGAGAGTCCCGAACTGGAATTAGACGGCACTGAATGTCTTTCCTCGAAGGCAGCCGCAGAACGGTGATCAGATCAGGAAGCGGTTGCCAACGTTACCAGGTGTACGTGTGTTGCTTGCTTTGGAGTACCAGATATACTCGACTCCCGCCAGGGTTCCAATTTTGAAAGTCTCTTAGCACAGAAACTCTGTATTAAGCTCGGGATCCAGAAAACAAAGACTAGGCATACAACCCTCAAGTCAACGGACAAATTGAATGGCCCAAAATTCTACTTTGTTCCTAGTACACACCTTCATAAATTCTGTCATAAGTGATATTTGGGAAACTCTTATTCCAGAACCGTATGAATTACAGATCCCCACTGCGTGAGCTTAGCTTTTATTTTGTTAGATGGGTATGCTTCGCGCGGACACTATATTAAAGGTTGATTTTATTTAATTGTTCGTCCGGAAAAATGGCATCTAAGGATTTTTGTGTTGGGAGCAGCCTTAACCGACTGGCATTCACGCCGCCCTGACGACTCCTTTCCACGCCACACTACCGATCTTTCCATAGCTCCATCGGTCCGATTGCATAAAACCCTACAAATATGCGCATGTTCCCTACTTGGCATTACATACGTCAAAAGCCTGATCTTATTCCGCATTTCTTGTTGGTTTCTTTGGAAGGGATTCCATGCAGGCATTGCTGGCGGGTGACCCTAATCACTTAACTTCGCACAACCATTTCTTATTTTTTCGGTTTATATTTTTATTGGCAGTGCCTATCAGAAACAGAACACAGACCGCTGAGGGAAACACCGAGGAGCCAAAACCCTCGTTGTTGCGTCATAGAGAGATAGACGAAACACGTGTGTGGGCATTTATCTAATACGTATGCCGGAAGTACAGTATAACGCCTTTGCTATTTAGAATCTATA